CTGCAAAGCCTCCCGACCCTCCAGGAGATGATAAGGATAAATCCTTACTACACATAGGAGAAAGGTCCACCCAGCTCTGCCTTCACAGTGAAATTCACCTGAAAAAGATAAAAGAAAAAAAATTCTTATGCACTTAAATCCACCCATTTCAGAGTTTTTCCTCCTTGCTGCTGCCTTTCAGCTGGTGCACACAAAGCACAGGCTGCTCTGGCCAGAAAACTGTTTTGCCAAGTGAAGCTTTAAGGTACAGAGAGATTTTAATCAAATTAACACGCAGGTTTCACACTCGCTGTGGTGATGTTTCTACAGCAAGCGCAATGAAAGAGGGATACCAGTTTGTCGCTCAGCGGCTGGATGCTGGAGACGTTGGTGATCTGCTGGGTTCCCACCACCGTGTTCATGTACTGCACCTGGCTGGTCAGGCTGGTCACCGTCACTGAGTAGAAGTTGGAGTTTCTGATCCGTAGGGTGGCCTGGATGGAGAAAGGGGGGAGTAGCAGCGACCCTCCTGGCAGCTCAGCGCAGAATTTATTCCCTCAGGAATACAGAGACCCAAAAACTTTACCGTGATGGCAAGAACGACGACGGAATTCTTCTTGTCGAACCAAACCTGAACCACTTTAATACCGTCGTCATCCACCAGGACAGAGTGGGGGAAGAGGAAGAAAACCACCAGCCCCGATACCAGGAGGCAGAGCAGCACCGACAGCACGACGTAGAGCTTCCTGGAAGAGGCAGGGAAGGGTCAGCGCCGTTGCCCTGACACCGCATCCGCGGCCGCGAGAGGCCTGGGGGCTGAAACCCAACCTCACGGCAAAGAACACACGTATTTGTTCTTCCCTGGCAGACACACAGAAGCGCTGCTCTAACCTTCTCGATATCGGAAATTGCCCTTTGCGCAGTTTATTTTTTGGTAATGAGTAACCAAAGAATCATTTTTGCCCCCATAGCGCTTTCACAATCTATTTTCGCTGTCAGCGAGGCAGTTTCTTTATAAAAGCTCCAGTGAAGGGTGGGGGGATGAAGCGTGTGAGTAGGATCATTGTTTCCATGCTCACCCCACAGGGGGATTTCACAGGATGTATTTAAAATTACAGTAAAATTGGTATTTGTTCACATACTTGGATTAAAATAACCCACTAGTCGAGAGAGAGGCGACGTGAAGTGTTCAGATGCAGCAGCAAATGACCAAAGAGCCCCGTCTGCTCTTTGCAAAGATGTAACTCCTCACTTACTACAAACTTACGTTCTCTGCGGACGAAGCCGTTGGTCGCTGTAGGGTATCAGAGCCACCAACTCATTGACCTGCTCTGGAAAAGCAAAAGAATCACGTTAACCCGTTCCCCAGATGTGCAAAGTCGCTCATGTAAACGTTTTCTTTTGGTTTTTAAAAAATTTTTCCTGGGAGGAGCAGTCACCTGTGGGAATGCAGCCGGTGCCCTGGCAAGTGGGGCAGGTGATGCTGTCCTGACCCGTGAATTCCACGTAGGGAAACTTGGCGATGTCTTCCACGCGGTCCTGGCTATCAAGTAAATCATCATCATCGTCGTCAGGCTTCTTCCTCTGGCTGGAGGCAGCACTGTTAACGGAGAGGGTGAGCGCAGAACCCATAGCAGCTGCTGGAGGAAAGCCCCAGAACCTGTGACAGAGACAGAAAGAGCCACTGTGGTCATCAAACAGGTTCTCAACGGAAACTTGGCGATGTCTTCCACGCGGTCCTGGCTATCAAGTAAATCATCATCATCGTCGTCAGGCTTCTTCCTCTGGCTGGAGGCAGCACTGTTAACGGAGAGGGTGAGCGCAGAACCCATAGCAGCTGCTGGAGGAAAGCCCCAGAACCTGTGACAGAGACAGAAAGAGCCACTGTGGTCATCAAACAGGTTCTCAACGTGCCGCTGGCCGACACGGAACCCCCCCCCTGAACCACAGGTTTGACGGGAGCAACCTTCCTCCCCCCAGACCCAGCCCACCCCCCCTTGGAGGCACACTTGAACCACCCTCCTGGGGCGGGGGGAAAGCCCCAAACCCACCACAGAGAGCCTCCCCCTTCAGGAATGACCTCCCCCCAGCACCCCACAAAAAGAGAGACCCTATTTAG